TACCCCATATCTTCCCGTGGGTGTCGTAAAAGGCGACAAAGGGAAACAGGCAGGAGATGGGCAGCAGCATCTTCCTGATAACAGCAAAAGTACAATAAAAAAAACTGCGGTTGCCAACCCGCTCGCCAAGTGTGGCAACTATGGCAAATGATTAGAGCAGCAAAGAGACTGCCCCCAGTCCCCGGCAGCCCCGCTATTGCTGGCTACGGTGGCGACCATGGTATCGGCGGGACAGGGGGTGCTAAGAATCTCCGGTTGAGGTTCGGTTGCCACCTAAGACGACTCGACCTAGCAACATACAACGCACCCTGAGGACTGACGAGAAGATTGTGGAGCTGGAAGAAGAGACAGACAAGTTACGCTGGCATATTATAGGAATATCCGAGGTCCGAAGAGAGGGGGAGGACACGGTAATCCTCGAATCCGGCAACTTGCAACTTGCGATGACTTACGGATCTGAGACGTGGTCCTCCACTGCTGGCCGTATGAGGAAGCTCAAGGTCGCTCAGCGAGCTATGAAGAGGGCTATGCTCGGGGTGTCTCTGCGTGATAAACTTAGAAATGAGTATATCCGCAGTAGAACCAGAGTAACCGACATAGCCCAACGGATTAGTAAGCTGAAGCAGCAGTGGGCCGGCCATATAGCTCAAAGAACCGACAACCGTTGGGGAAGAAAGGTTCTTGAGTGGCAGCCTCGTACCGGTAGAGGAAGTGTAGGGCGACCCCCCACTAGATGGAGTGACGACCTGGTGAGACATGCAGGAAGTCGATGAATGCAGGTGGCTCAGGACCGTGCTTTGTGGCATTCCTTGGGGGAGGCCTATGTTCAGCAGTGGACTTGTGAAGGGCTGTAATGATGATGATGATGATGATCGACATTTTGAGTAGCAAGATTAAAAATATCTACACAATACCAGACTTATTTCTAACAATAGTCATGATGGCTTAGTCCCAGTAGTCATGCCCAGTCAATTTACAGCATGGCATCCGGCAAGTACATATAATAGGTTGTTTCCAAACTACGACTCCATACTTATTTATAATTTATAGTAATTAATATAATTATTTAAAACCTACTAAGTTTTGAAAGACTACTAAAGTAACCAAATTCATTGTCGTAATGGTATGAACTATCCAATTCTTTAGTGGTAACTCAGGGGCTAAAAACTCACAGTAAATTTCACGGTATGCAAGCAAATATACATTAAAACAAAGAGCCAATCTACCAATAATATGTTCTTAGCCAGGCTGAAGTTGGCTTTGCGAGACATTCCCGCATGTGCAGATGCTAGTTAATAGAGATGTGCCACTTCATATTCTCTCTAAATATTGCTCTGGGAAACAGTTTCTTTTTTTGTCTAAATCGATTACAAAATAAATTTAAAATTACTATTTTTTTCTTAGTTTCGCAACTGGCCATGGATCCTGCCAGTGTAAAGTATTTCATATGTCATTATTCAAAGTCACACAGTGTATTAGACTAGTCTCCATATATAGGCTTAACTACATGTTATGAAGTTACATATGTGGTTATTTTCGAATGAATTAACAAATATAGTTTTACAATATTAATGCTGGATGTAAGTATAAAAGTTCTATAGCTCAATGGATACGAAGTTTAATAAAGTTTGGACAAAAAGAGTGTAAACTATATTAAACAAAGACTTAAGATTTAAAGGAGAGGGGATGTTATTAGGAAGAAAATTGTATAATGAAAATGAGGGGGCAGTTAAAAAATTTATGATCAATCGTACCTTTGTTTAGTCCACATTCACAAATTGAGCTATCTTTAAAATTATTGGTTGAAATTTAGAATCGTTTGGCAGGAGAAGGGGGCAGGGGTTGAGGGGAGGGGAAGGGGGAGTGTCCCTTTACTCCCGACACCACTCCCATTAAAAGCTAATACACCGTTCTTAAGAAAAATCAAAAAGAAAATCCCATAGATCTACCTGAAAGTAACATTTATCGTCTCCGGCAGGAGAGGGGAAGTAAGTAGCAGGAGTATGCTTTATCAGGAAAAGCCCCTCTACCCTTTACCTCGTTGCGGAAAAGTATAGTTTATGAGTAATGATTTTTTTTTTGTAAAATCATAAGCTCATTTTTTTACACAGGAATATTGACTTCTACAACGGCTTCGGCGCTGCGAGAAGTGCAGCCCCTTCGCCCTTGCGTAGCGAATCACAGGCACCCATGCTGCTGCGTTGCTCCTGGATTTGCTACAGGGGGCGGGGACTGCTCTCCCTCTGCACCTACGGCTTTACAAAAACACTCTAGGAGTAGGGCAGACAAGACTACATGGAGTCGGGTTGGGCTGGTTTAATTTTAGTACAGATTCAATCAGATCAGATATCTTATCTATAAAGTCAGGTTGCCTTCTCTCCCGCCACAACCTTCTAACCTATTACAACTGAAATTATTTCTGGGTGTTCAAGTATTTCTGGGCAGTTTTAAACAATTCAGAAATAATATAAATAAAAATATAATAAACAGTATATTATAATCATTTCTTTATTGTCTGTAAACAAAACATTTTTATTGATTCCTCAAAAGGATCTCTTTTCTTCCTTATTATTTCTCTTCTCCATAAATATTCATATATCAAGTGTGTAAAATTTTCTTTATTATTATAGTTCTTTAGCGAAATATCTCTTGACAGAGAGTATAGACAGTAGAATAATGTGACACTAGTCTTACGTCCTTGTCGCACTTACACATAATTTAAAATTAAAAATTTTGTACAGCCGACTTCAATATAAGTTATTTAAGAATAACTTAAAAACTATTGGTCTGACCTTGATCAAATTCATATGGGACCACACGAGAAGTACCAGCTTTCAAATAAAAAAAGAATCATCGAAATCGGTTCACCCAGAAAAAAGATCTGAGGTAACACACATAAAAAAAAAAACGAAAAAAAAAAAAAAACATACAGTCGAATTGAGTACCGGCTCCTTTTTGGAAGTCGGCAGAAAATTCTATATGCTATCCAACTTTCACAGTAATTTTTCCTTGTTTTACGCATTTTATTTATTTTTTCGATAACGGTGCATTACCTTTTAATGTGAGTGGTATTATTATAATCGGGGACCAAATCTCTACCAAATAAAACACCTTACTTCGCCAAATTCGTGCCAAATGATTCTATCTACAACCCAAATGATCTTTATGTATTTCAATAAAAAAAATAGTATCTAATAAAAAAAATATGAATATATAATTAATACACAATATTAGCTAGAACAAGAAATTCTTTAAGTAACCCCAAAATAATATAATTATAAATTTTTCAATAAAATCTATAATTCAATTTAATATACATCATCATAATCACTGTATTTAAAACGATATGTGTCATTTACACACCAATTAATCATAAAAAATATAAAATAAAATTGAATCACAATGGATTATAGAAGATTATTTAACCATGTAACCATGTAATATGCCTATTTGCATCTCTAGTTTTAGTTACCGCCCACCCTCTCTCTACACGAATCACATTTTGTTCCTAAAACCTATATCTGTGCAGCCACTTGTGACTAATTTAGCCCGGCCAAGATAGAATGTGCGGACTTTACGTAAGGGTAGAGCCATGCTGCAGCTATATCAGTAGTATAGCTGTAGCACGAATGGATCGGCTCGACCGGGGAAGGACCACGCTCTCACAGAATACTAGCGTAAAATAGCAGCTTAACGCTGCTGTGTTTCGTATGGTGAGTGTAGAGAACCGGAGACGCTTTTTAATGGCGAAGAGGCATTCCAGCTTAGTCCTCATGGGGTGACAACGCATCTGCATCTTGAGTCTTTATTGAGGATAGATGTAGATGACTATGGGTCGCAGTGACCACTTACCATCAGGTGGACTGTGTGCTCGTTTGTCACCCTATACTATAAAAAAGGGTATGTACCAACCCGTTACCTATTGTTACCACCAAATAACAGTACTTACACTGCTGTGTTCTAGACTGGAGGGTAAAAAGAGCTAGTAATTACAGGCTGTGAGGTATTCCATCTTAGTTCTCAGAGAACACTGCATTGACAGCCTTCTTTGTTTTAAGTTAGCTGCATGTGTCCATGGCCTATTACCATCACTTGAAATGTAATTTCATTGTCACTTCAATTTTATGAAAAGAAACATTTTCTTTATTTCTGACCGGCAGTAGTTATAGGTAAACAAACATACTGATTTTATTTTTATTGTTTTATAATGATTGACATCCTTGCCAGAATTTCATTCACAATATAAATTATTGTCATTCACGATAGGAGATGGCTTGTGCATCAACCTGCAAATACTAATTACCAACTAAATATTACACTTTCTATTACAGGAGATGACTACATAACATTTAATTTTTTTCACTGAAAATACTTAAATATAACTTAGAATTTAAATAACAATAATGTACACCACACTTTTGATATATTGTATGTATCTTATCATCATCATCATTACAGTTAGTCCACTCCTGAATATAGGCCTCCCCCAAGGAATGCCACAAAGCATAGTCCTGAGCCACCTGCATCCATCAACTTCCTGGGCATCTTACCAGGTCGTCACTGCATCTAGTGGGGGGTCGCACTACACTTCGCCTACCGGTACAAAGCTGCCACTCGAGAACCTTTTTCTTCCAATACAGTGGTGAAGAGTTTTGGGTATTTAACGTCACCCTGTCTTACACCTGTCTGCAGTTGAATAGGTTTCGTACTCTGATTCTGTACTCAGATAGCCATCGTAGCCCTACTGTACAAAAACTTCAGCACTTAGATATACCGACAGTCAACTTGGCACCGCTGAAGGGGCTGTAGCACCGCCCAAATTTCGACGGAATCATTTTCAGATACATTCAATGGAATCACTGTATGTATCTGATAATTCGATATTAATAATAAGTAAGCCATGACTAAATTATAGTTTTATCACTTGTAACCAGTAAGCTGATGTAGCAATAGATGAATATAAAAGTTCATATGAAGATATTACAGATATCTGAACTCACCTCAATAATCCGCAGGACTGCTAAGCTATCACTCAAAATATCCCGCGGCATTTCGGCCAATATTATGGCACATCATTTAAAAATATATAAAATTAATTTTTAGGAGTATGTAATATTAATATGGCATTAAATTAATAACATTTATGATTACTTCACATTGTACACTCTGAAAGAAAGGTATGTTCTCTTTTTAACAGCAAGTTAGAATTTCATGTGTAGTAAGCAAACTATATCTTCTTCTATATAAATATATGTGTACTAATATACCTACAATTAAAATTAAAAACTTCAATTGAATCAAATTAAATTAGCACTCCGCAAAACTGCCCATATCGATTGTTGATACTTATTTGTCTAAGTCGTTAAATTATCTCAGTACCTAGTTCATCACATTAAAAATTATGATTTATACATTTTGTCACAGTAAAATAAGCTACTAAATATCTTAAGAACCAATAAAACGTTAAAAATAACAATTTTAAGATTTGTCAGTATCTAAAACCTATAAGCAAATAGCTTGCTACAGATATATACAAAATGTAGTGATGGGTCAACCCGAGTTACTAACTCAAGGTTAACTCGAGTTGCGCTTAACTCGAGTTAACTCGAGTTGGATTCCCTGACTCGAGTTTGGGCTGCTGTACATGAACGGATCAAGTGAGCCAACATAAGAGCGCGATTCGTTCGTTGTGTGCGCGCTTTGTGTTTCAAAAAGTATTTAGTTATAACCAAAACAATTTGTTATTTAGATTTTATAATAGCTAAGTTTTGTAATTTAATTTCTTTTATAATTTTGATTAATTTTGATCAATATAGTTATGTACGTCACAAACCTATGATTATTTTAAACCTATTATACCACCCGAAAATCATAGTAAGTTGTAAAATACATCATATTTTAAATCAACGCCAATTGCTACTTACAATAAATATTTTTATTTTGAATTCTCATATTAGTCTGTGAAAGTCTGAAAGTGTGAAAGCAAACATCAAACTTTTTCCATTCTGAAATTGAAGTTGTTTTTTTTTTTTTTGTTAAGTCGAGTACTTTGTGGTTATACTTTTGTTTTTTCACAATCAAGTAATAAGAAATTATCCTTAAAAATATTTTATTTGAAAACTATCTTCACAATATGCTGATGCGTCACGTTGCGAAGTTTTTTATAGATTTTGACGTCACATTAACACCAAGTATGATAATTTGTCTAAGCCAACGGACGGTCGATTTTTAAGGTGCCGAAGCGGACATAATATATAGGGCACAACATAAAACTCCCTTTAACACCCTATCGCTAGAGACAATACAAAAAGTACTGGTTAAGCACATCAAAAAAGCGCTAGATTTTGCACTAACTTTGAATTAAATAAAATCAAAGACTTGTATGATCACTCGAATAATAAAAGGGGATTCCTCTTAGAAATACAACTCAGATCGATAATTCTGTGCTGCATATACATTTCAGATGTTAATAACTGCTAAACCTAGTCGCCATATCACACGGCTCTAAGTTATCTACAAGGCGCTAAAACTTTTTTTTAAATATCGTTTAACCGAATCGACTTCAACTTTGACTTTCTTAAATTATAAACGAAAAAATCACAATATTAATATTTATGTGATAAACTTCGTGATTTTGAAAGCCTGTATAACAGGCATTGCACTTTTGAAGTAGATGTTAATTTTCCGAAGCTTTGTAATCACCATCCTATTTTATTATTGTATATTATGGCAACTGTAAGGAGCAAGATAGCGCGACTGAAAAGTGAGTATATCTAGGCCGCGAATCGTTACTTTTATAAGTTATAAAAAATAAAATTTATTTTATTCGTAATAAAGTATGAATTGGCTTGATACTAAAATACGAGCTTTCTGGTTTTATCAAATATTATTTATTCTGTGGTTTTACTAATAATTTTATGTACTAATCCCAGTATTATATTTAGTCCGTGTTTTGGAATAAGGCCGAGAATGTTTTATATAAAGTATTTAAACGAAGTATAATGCTTGATACGATATCTCTCATATCTTGTTTTTACTGATTTAATGCTCACGATAATATCTCGCAAACACCAGTCTTTTAATTTTTAAAATCAGTTTGAAATCCAATTAATATTTATAAGAGAGCTGTGTATTTAATAAATCTTATTTCATACGTTTTAAAACAAAATTTTAGTATAGTATATACTATTAGTATCTACCGTAGTACTATTATTTAGTACGATTGTACTAGTAGTTAGTTTTCCAATAGTTATCATAAAAACTTCACCCCGTCACAAAATAATTAAAAAATAAATGCTATATTATACAAACATTAATGTATTATCCGTGTCTCAGAACAATAACTAGGCAAAGTTATATAACGTGGCCGCTACAATAGTGACTTTAATTTAAGACACGGGTAGGGCTAGTGCCCATTAATCATATTAATTTTCATAGGTTAAAATAACTCGTAAAATGAAAAAAATCAAACAAACTTCAAAACAAAAAAGTAACTAAAATTGGGATCACCTTAGGATAAAATTACTTACCTAGCTGGCTTACGTTAACTCGGAGCGGCAACGCGTCGCAACCGCACAACGCGTCTTGTACCTACTCGTGACCGATCCGATTCTTTGACGGTTTATAATCAAAGGAACCGAGCGGTGCCGGAGAGTACCTACAGCGGAGGTGCTTAGTCAAACACTTATCATATTATCACCTTGTCTTGTTACTATTAGTTATAACTGTCATCGCTAATTAATGCTTTTAATTGTCTTTATTTTAAATTTTCATATTTTCAATGAGACCACCGTGTTGGCGAATACAAAGAGCTAAACGGCGTTTCATGTTTTCCCGCACATTTGAAAAGAAATTGTCACTTATAGCCATTTCCCTCAACTTCTCAAACGCATTTATTATTCGATGGCGTAATTGTTCCATCAAATCCACTTTCTACGCGTACACAGTGTCTTTGATGCACTCCCAGAAAAAAAAATCGAGTGGCGTAAGGTCTGACGATCTTGCTGACCACCAAGGAGGTCCAAATCTACCAATCCATTGTACACCAAACGTATCATTTAGTCACTGCCTGGCTGTTGTTACAGATTGTGGTGGTGCGCGTTCTAATTGGTACCACATTAGTTGGTGTCGATGGACGTTTAGATTGTTTGTGTTTTTGAACGGAAAAATCTTTGTAAATTTATTAAATTAACAAAGCTTTATACGGGTCCGATTATGTTGTCGCCGTGAATAGCTGCCCAAACATTTACCGAAAATCTGTACTGATGGGCTGACTCCCGCCAAACGCGCGAGTTTCGGTTTTTGGGTGCCCAATGGTGCAGATTGTGCTGATTCCACATGCCGTTTCTGGTGAACGTGCTTTCGTCAGTCCAAGAAATTTAGGAAAGAAAGTCACTGTCCTCTTCAATGTTACTCAGTAACCAATGACAATAATTCACTCTTCTTAATTTATCACGCATTAGCAGAGTATGTACTTTTTCTAACTTGAATGGACGCCACTTTTTGCTAATATCCTATTGATGGTTCTGTGATGGACTTGAAAATGCCTAGCGCGCTGGCGGAGGCTAGTTTTGAGTTGGTCTTCGAAATATTGTATCACATTTTCAGTTAACTGGATTGGGTTTTATCGCGTAGGCGGTCGATCAGGGCGTTGAGACATAGGATACACTGACCGGTTTTCGCAGATGCGCTGAAGAGTTTCTAAAACAATGAGAGGTATGAGTAGGGCATTGTCTTGAATCGCCATATCACTCACGATATGTCCTTATCGCAAGTTCGGCATTTTGACGTTATTCTCCGTAAATTAGGGCCATGTCCGCATATTCAGCTGCTGTGTATTTCGGATGTGTACTTGCCATTACGACCACAAGTTTACACAAGCCCTAATCACATAAATAAAAGCGTCCGTATCGCTAGAGATGTAAACGTACCTACTATATTAGAAAACGAAAACAAAACGTCTTTATGGCAGTACCATAACCTAATTACTATCCTAATTACACAAAAATTAATAAGAAAATAATAGGTAAGCGTCTTTTTGCGGAAAAGTTCACAAAAATATTAGTTCACGTAATGGGTCACACCAACATGTACTAATTTGACAATAAAACCTATATAACTTTAAATCTATGTTTATGAAATTAACAATAGTTTTGTTTCATCCAAATTGGTGCAGAAATACGAAAGTTATAACGTTTTGAAATTTCGCAATTTTTTCAATTTTTACCCGCTCGTTCTCTGTGACGTGACATCATAATTCGACAGCGCGAACGCTCAGTAGGTACTTGCTAAGTTCTAACCGCGCGCTCGGAACGGCGTTTACCTACATATTACATATATCGAATGTCAGAGTTAATGTCCGGTTGACTGTATTACTTGACATAATACTTATAATAAACCCAGCCACTATATAATAATTTGAACTAATAATTTATGAATAATCTTATCTAATATGAATAATCTAATCCAATGTAATCAATGTTATTTAAGATGAATAATTTAATCTAATGATCTTATCTATTATTATGAATAATGTAATCAATGAACTGTTAATAATATTTGACATTTGTATGCCCATGAGGCTGATCACAGACTGAACTTTATTTGTATTTGAATAAGACCTTTTTGTAACCTGTGAATCACAAATAAACTATTTGATTTGATTTATAAACTAATATATTGAACATTTAGCTTTTATATGATTATATTTATATGTATGGTCACGGTGTGTAGCGCTGTAAAAAAAGAAAATGGAAGCGGGCTTTGAAAAAAGATAGTCAGATAATCTGCCAAAAGTGGATATTTTTATGGTTGCGCAGTATTTTTCAGAAAATTATTTTTTTTTATCATCAGAAATGCGTGGAATAAAGCTCGAAAGGTAAGTTACCAATTAAAGATTACGAAAAGTATACAGCTTTACCACTGATTAGTAATTAGGCAGTAATACATAGGTAGGTTTTAACTGACCGAACCACGAAGTTGCACATGATTTACAACGATTTAAATGAAAAAAACTTACTTAAACTTATTAATGCAGTAAGTATTAATCAACTCGTACTGTTATTTAGTACTTAGTGACACGTGAAGAAATTTTGTTGGTTACGTAGTTCGTCAGTGGTTGCAAACATATGGTCCTTGTATTACTTTGAATTACTTTTGCATAAACTGATTGCGGTATTACGTTGGTAGTTGGTACCTATTTTGTTTTGAAAATGCAATGGTCACAAACTTTCAATGCGTAATGCTGATTTTGATGAAATTTTTCATAAAGGTATAACATGATCTACAGGATTTTATCTTCTCATATCGGACTTTTACTCCCAAGGAACGTGATATAAAAGAAATAAAAAAAAAAAACAGAAAATAAAGGTTAGTGATAAATAAATAACATGACAAGAAAATTATGACAAGTGGGACTCGAATCCACGATCTCGATGATTTTTATGGCTATTCGAGACGAAAACCCGTTTGGGTTTATAGTGTATCGTCCGGCAAGTTAATACATATTATCGTTAATTAACTTTAACGTATTGCTATTTTATGTAGGTTAACAAAGAGCCAAATGTTCGCTATCCCTCACTTCACTATCGATTTTATTCTTGGATTTATTTTAACACATACTGTCACAGCAGTTTGTCCCTGATCCCTGATCAATCGCACTCGTCTTATCAACGCAAGTACCACACGCATACAGGCACACTACGTTGTGTAAATAGTGATACGAACGTATTATTCTTTAAGCTTACACGGCAACGCATCCATTAGCATACCTTTACATACCTTTATATACCTTTACGTGCGCATTTATTAACAATGCTAAAGGTACATTACGATACTTAACACATACCAAGATAAGTATGTAAAGTTGTAGGTATAGGTTATGCCACGAGAGTTATGTGTAAGTTATGAGCGCTGACCTTGACTTGAATACGCAGAGTAACAATTTAGGTAATTTTGTGCCTTATACAAACGACGTAAGATGGGCAGACACCTCGACCACTTAGCCAAGCGCTCCCATTTCATAAACAGGTAAGTAGGTATATAAAACTCAAATAGTTATTAACACTGGTGTGTTGTGTAATGTGGCTCGTAAACATTTTGTAGGTAACAATAGGTATATATGTAAACAAACAATAATGAAACTTAAATCAAAATGATCTTCACTACAATAAACACTACTGGTGGCTTCGACGTGTCAAATTGTGACGTCACATCGCGATGCGGAGCAAAGCGGTCATCCTTACCGTAAAACACCGCTTTACTCAACAATATTTCAGTCATTTTTAAAGGTAGAAAAAAATGCGCCGTTCGCTTGCCAACAAAGGATGTCTCTTTCCTTCAATGGTATTGCTTATTAGAATAGAATAGAATAGAATTATTTTTATTCAATATGGATTATTACATAATACTTATTGAAAGTCATTATTTTATTTACCACAGGTTCGGAAAATACCTCTGTCCTGGGAAGAACCAGCAGGAAAACCCAGCGGGACTTATTTTTAAACATAATTTCACTTAACCATAATGGTGGCGATCACCTTATTCCCAGGTGTTATTTTCATTCATGTATTCCTTGATATTATAATAACCCTTTTTGTACAGTTTTTCTTTAATAAAACTTTTAAACTTGTTTATTGACAAACTTTGAACATGTTCTGGAATTTTGTTGTAAAAGCGTATACATTGCCCCATAAATGAATTACTAATTCTGTGGAGTCTAGTAACTGGCATTACAAGCCTATGTTTGTTCCTAGTGTTTAAGGTATGAACATCCTTATTCTTATTAAAGCTATTTATGTTTTTATGTACATACATTACATTTTCATAAATATATTGCGATGGCAAAGTTAATATGTTTATTTCCTTAACTTTTTCTCTAAGACTCCTTACAATTTAGATTATAAATCGCCCGTACGGCTCTCTTTTGCAAAACAAATATAGCTTCAATATCAGTCGCATTACCCCATAGCAAAATTCTATAAGACATTACGCTATGAAAGTAACTAAAATACACTAACCTAGCTGTTTCAACATTGTGAGACTTCTAATCTTTCTTACAGCATATGCTGCAGAACTAAGTCTGCTTGCTAATTTAGATATATGGGGGCCCCATTGAAGTTTCGCGTGAATAGTAATACCAAGAAAAACAGTGGTATCCACAAGACTCAACTCCTCCCCATTTGAGAGCACATTGGTTTTCGAATGTTTTACATTAGGTATTGTAAATTTAATACATTTTCTCTTATTGCCGTTTAAGAGCAAATTGTTGGCGTTAAACCAATATCCTCGTTTTGATAGAGTATTATTTACATCGTCATATTTAATTGACTGCCGTTTCAGTTTGAAAATTAAAGAGGTATCGTCAGCAAATAATACTATATCGTGATTGTCCCCTACAAGATAAGGTAAGTCATTAATATAGATTAAGAACAGGAATAGGCCAAGAATCGAGACCTGAGGAACGCCCATTGATACTACCGATCCGGAGGAACATTTACCATTGATGACGACTTTTTGAGTTCTGTTACTTAAATATGAAGTAATAAGTCTAAGCGCCAAATTTTTTACACCGTAATATTGTAGTTTCCTGATTAATGTCTCATGATGAACACGATCGAAAGCCTTGGAGAGGTCACAGAAAATACCTAAGGCATCTTGTGAATTCTCCCAGGCATTAAAAATATATTTCATAAGCTCATAACCGGCGTTAGACGTCGAGCGACCCCTTGTAAAACCAAATTGATTTTTATGAAGTAATTTATTTGTATTAAAAAAAATTAACAATTGATCCAAAATTATTTTTTCAAAAATTTTACTGAGTGTTGGTAGTACAGAAATAGGTCTATAATTAGCGGGGTCCAATGTACTACCAGATTTAAATAAAGGTATTACTTTACTATACTTCATTAAATCAGGAAACACACCAGAATCGATACAAGTATTAAAAATAATAGCAAGATGAGGTGCAATTAAATCTATTATGGATGCAATCACTGAAATGAAAATCCCTCACAAATCTGCGATTTTCTTTACATCAATGGTTTTGAAGTATTTTACAATATTATGCGGTAATATTTTTTCAAATCTAAATTCTTTTAAACACAGGTATTTACATTCTATTTAAGTAATGACTCGGCGACAGTTGGAGAAGTATTCAATGAATCTGTTGTCAAGATAGGAACATCAGTGAAATATTTCTCAAACACCGCTGCAACTTCTTGATTTGATTTAGTCAATTCATTATTAATATTTAATTGATAGTTTGAGTTACGAGGTTTCTCTTTACCGGTTTCGTATATTCGTTTTAATTTCAATGATGCGATCGTATGATCCGTGGCCCCGTCAAATGACTGCAGCGCGACAGTTCTCTAAGTACAGGTTGCTCTAAGATGCTATTTTCTAAAATTTTAAATAAATCCGTAAATAATAACGTTTAATGGAAATATAATTTCTCCGTGAAACCAAAATGTGAAATATATTAAATTAAAGTCACCATTGTTGCTGCACGTAGTATTGTTTGATGTCCGTCTTTCATTATTCAATAGTTTGCGACCGAAGGCTAAAGCCAAAGACAACTAAAAACATAAAAAGAAGAAAATATAAAGAACTATGATTAAATTTTACTTCCGCTCAAAGTGATATCGTTTTATTTCTTTTTATATTTATTATTGTTAAAATACAATTTTTGGAGAAATAATAATAAAAAATAAAAGGAACGATAAATAAATCTTTTTATAAAGAATAGATAAGCAGCACATTACCATTTTATAAAATTTTGTTAGCTTTGTTAGTATTTAATTTGTTCGATTTGTAAACTATTATGGCGTTTGTGTTCTGATACACAACGCATATATTCATATCTGTATTTTACATTTTAAAATATTTCAAGACTAATATCGTAAAATTTTCAAAAAAAAATCGCTGGTGATATGGAAAAACGTTTTCCGTAAGGTAGACCGTAAACTGTGAAAGCTTATTCTTTTTTTAGGTTATGTTTCCATCTTTTATAGGTATTTTAGGTGGGTTTCAGTGAAACGGGCTATCAATTACGCGTTTTTCTCCAGGATAGTACAGCTAAAAGTGATGTCTGAATGAATTTCTCACGGTTTCTAGATATTCAGTCATGGTGGGAAGTGCCCAGCATCGCTTATTTTTGTTCCTTATTCAGGACTGCTTTCAATCTTCTAGATTTTGACATTGAAGTGAGTATTGATAGTAAATAAGGCCTGATCCAATTTGATTTTGTATTTGGATCTACTATTGTTGTGGTGTCGTTTGAAATAATGTTAATATTGTAGGAATTGGAAGAAGCTCTTTTGACAGATGGCACTGAAGAGTCCGCGAGTTCCCTCTTGACAGAGTTGATTGTACGACTGTTAAACGGTTGTTTAGGCAACAATGATATCTCTGCGTTTAATTATCAGGTGCCTAAAACTGAGTACAGATTTTTTATCTACAATATTTTATTTGCATACTTTTTAACACAAATCTTTATTGTAGATGTATTTGAGACGTCTATTTCGGCAAAAATGTCAAGAAACTGGAAGATATAATCCCTTTAACACAGATATTGACTTTCAATTCTTACCTCTCCGCACGAAGGTTGAAATTCTCTATGCATTATGTGACTTCCGTTTAGATGCTGAAGATGTGTTTGATTTATTCAAAAATTTAGAGGCAGAGAGCTTGAGAGTAGAACCTCTAGGGTAAGTCATTATAAGCCTTTTGCCTTACAATATTATTTACCATCTACTTTTTGCTTATATATTAAATAGAAATAAAAAATATGTATGTACTTTACAGTTGGGATGACAATGACTCTGCATATTGGTACTTTTATGGAACCAGATTATACCGTGAAGATATTATAAAGAAACCAAAAGGTAAAAGTAAGAAGAAAAAGAGTAAGGAAAGCAGAAAACGTGGCTGGTTCTATGGTGATGATTGGCTTGATGACGACGAGACAGAGCGTGTGTGGCAAGTGGTGTGCTTTACTGAGGAAGATTGGACCCACCTGACAGAGAAGTTCAGTAAAGCAACCAGTAAGGTTGAGAAGGAATTGTATCGATCTCTGTCACAGAACTTTTTGCCGGAGATACCAAGGCTCTTCCAGGAGAAGGAACGTCTACAAAGAAAAAGGTAAGAAAGTGTGAAGTGTTGCAAATAGTCCTATGTTGCATTTAATTACTTTCTCACTTCTATTTCTTTTTCTTTATGGCGAATTTGACGTGTTCCCTAATGTCAGCATGAAAGTGTTTGATACATTGACCAGCAAACAAATACAATCTCCATGTACAAAGCAACATTGTGATAATATTAGTTCACACATTCACACATGGCGAAGCCACGCTGCATCTATATGGCAGTTATGCCACAAATGAGTCAGCTTGACTGGGAAAGGACCACACTAACAGAATACCAGCATAAAATAGCATCTTGATGTGGCTGAGCTTTGTGTGATGAGTGTAGAGGGCTGGATACCCATTTCACTGGAAGCGAGGCATTCTATTTCAGTTCCCAGGCTTGACGATGTATCTGAATATTTATCACTAGCTGATACCCGCATCTTCGTCCACATTGCTTGATATATTAACAAAGTTTTCATGTGTGAAGAAAAAAAACATCAAAAAGATTTTAAGCAAAAATATACTTTGCTTACAAAATTTCATTCTGAATAATGTTATTCGTTGCTCTGTTTGTAGCTAAAATATATAAATTATCTGGGTTAGTAACGCAAGAGCAAGCAACATACTGTTGACCATGTGAAAAACCCTGTGTAAAAATAGTTGTTTCTTTAAACTTTAATAACTTTATATTAAATGAAGATATCACAATATTTTTTTTAGGCCATGGCTCTAAGCAATAAAACTTAGAAAACTTAATTTAAATCTATCCAGTAGTTATTCCATGATGCACACACAACTGAAAACCTCTATTATATAAATTAAGTAGATGTCTATGGGCCACAGCAACCACTTGGCATCAGGGGGCTGTGTTTGTTTGACACCCTTAATCTATAAAAAAAAAGAAGAATTCCATCAAATATTGTATTAAAAAGTGTTATATGTTTCCATAATATTATAATCTTTTTATGATTCTGATGATTAAATTATTGAATTACCTAGAACAAATACTAGCCCATAGACAATTCACTGCTGGAAATGAGGCTCCTTTTTAATATCCACAATTCATAATCATAATAATATTTGTTATTATTATTTTTGAGAACTATCTTACTGATATAAGGTTAAATTATGTATGATTAGTTTATATATATTTTAATTGATTAATGTATTGTTAGATTAAATGAACAATTAATTCTTAAATCACAGTTAATTAAAAATGATGTAGGTATAGGTTAAAGTTGTAGGTTTTAAGAAAATAACTTACGATATTAATAGGAGGTAACAGTGTAAGATCTAAAGAATTTATATTGTTGTAATAATGTATCTGGTTGTAACTCATTCATTGATTCTGTTGACAACTTACTACATAATATTACATCACTTGCTGTTAACTTCTTAATGGAAATTGTAAAGTTCTTTTCATTGCTTATTCTAAGATTTTTTCCTTTAACATTTCAACATATTTTATTATTTATTGTTAGCTATGTTCTTAAATTTTCAATAACATTGCATAATCAGTCAATCATAAGAACTAGCGGGAATAGGTCAGAATAGGTTAGTTGTTAAAAATAGTAAAAATGTCAGAGTGGATGTTCAACTTGCTCTCTTGCTTAAGCAGTTAATCATTAGTGGCAATAAAATGGTGTAACTGCACTATGCAATCAGTATAGGCTATTTCATTTCAACCATACTGTATTATGACCTTGTCACAATTAATCACTGGTGTAACGTGAAGGACGTAATTACATGATGTATGCAAAGTATGCAAACCAACAGCAGCACTACCCAACTCAATATAATATGGGACAGCCTCTCAGCAACACAATCCTCCTTGTCTGCATCAGAAAGTTCACCACAATAGCCAGAACCACAACTATCTCAACATGTTAGAATGAATAGAAACACTTGAACTCTGCACCTACACTGACCTTTATACTGCACTAATGAGTGGGAGGAGAGGGGGCGTTCTGGAAATACCTTCCATTGCAACTCAGCAAGAGTCACACACTTTCGATCCAATCGGTAGTTTATAGACACACCGACACATAAGAATATTTAATTGTTTATAATGTTATATTATTTTAACACAACAATAGTACACAATTCAGTTTTGTGTAATTGATTTTTCTTGCCTGTCACGAAACCTATTGGACTATACTTAAATTGTAACATTAACTCCTGATATACTAGGAAAATAATATTTTTTTTATTTTATATTTAATAAGCATTTACATTTTGCATTTAGCTCATTTAAACAAACATAAACATTTAGACTACTTGCTTAATATAGCTTTCCAAGCTTTTTAAATTTAACCATGTCTTACTAGTGGAAAACGACATGAAACAAACTTATGTTTTCATTTAGGATCTTTTTATGAGACATTAAAAAGTACTACTGTGTTACCACCTATGGTTTGGCGGGTATGCCAATGGAAAAATATACAACTTACAAATTTCACTACTTAAAACAATTGTAGCTTGTAAAATAGAAATTTTAAAATTATTATTATTAAATAATTTATTATTTATTTAGCTACTTTAAGGTATTAAAAATCTATGACAAAGTTAATATACAAGTAATATTATGCGAAGAACTTTGTAAAATGTGCATATGAACTTTCCAAATGGACAATATTATTTATTACCCTCATGTACCAATTGTAAACATAGAATAGAGTTTTGCTGACTGGTGCATTAAACACATACGTAATTTCTTTTTACAACAATTTTCTTAGTCAAAAGAAATTATATAAAAAATACTTAAGATCAGTTATATATATATATTTCTGTGATAAATTAGTGACCCTGCTTGCGCATTATCCACCTGGTCTTCAGTATGTAAAATAAGTTTAATAATATCATGTATTTTTAAACTATATTATACAACAAATAAAATAAAAAATTAGCTCAATTGGCCTTTTGCAGCCCAGGGCAACATTTTGCCCTAGAATATTGACAAACGGTTTTCTATCTTGTTCATTCCTGTTATGCGAAATGTATTTTACTTTTTTTTATAATTCTTGTCATATGTTTTGAGGTTTTTACCGGGATTTGGTGAGGACCCAAAAGAAGGGGAAATTATATATAATTATATAAATTATATATATATATATATATATATATATATACCTGCTTCTTAGTCAGCCTGATACTCTTAAACTAGTCGTCGGATTTTGACAAATGATACCTCAAATGATTTGCATATTATAAATATAGCAGACATGAAGTGTCAAAAACAAAAACAAATTTATTGTGAAGACATTATACTTTATTGGGGGAGGCTAGGTTCAGCAGTGTACTTGGGGAAGGGCTGTAATGATGATGATGACATTATAAGGTATTAATGAGTACACCCCTAATACGTCTCCGTGGCGAAGTGGTCTAGCAAAAGTTGCATCCCTAAGTGTCGCGGGTTCGAATCCCGCACGGAACAATTATTTGTATGGCCTATAAATAATTATTCTGGGTCTGGGTGTTTGTTCTTGTGAAATTTATGCATGTAAACTGCCCCCACAATACAGGAGAAAATCCTAGTGTGAAGGTTATTAAAAAAGAAAAGAATATAAGTAATTTGTTTTTACTACATATAGTATAACTAAATCACTGCAGTCTAGTTTTGTTTTTATTAATAATTATATATTTTAGCTGTGCTGTTCTTGTTCATCATTAATTGCCTATTAATTGAAGGATGGTGTGTGATTTGAGTAAAGTCAGTAATAACATCTTGTTCATCGGGCCGTCATAAACAGTCTATTGCTGGACAAGGACCTTTTCAATAGGTAGGGTTTCAATTACCACCATGCTAGGCAGATTGGCAACATAATACCATCTCAGATGTATTGCAATTTCAAGGCTGCTTCCCGTCGCCGCTCTGGGTATTTTCAATCTATCGAGCGGCATAAATAAGAGCTAATTTGTCAATCCTAAAGCTTTGTGATTACATGCAAAATTTAGTTTGTTTCTCCAAAGTTAACACCATTTGTTATGGATTGTTTATTCAGAAGTTACACATGCCGTTCTTATATTCTTGTGTTGGTGGTATTTGTTCCCCAAATTGGTAAAACCAGCTGATAAGAGAGCTTAGAAATGTAATGAAAGAAGAAAGAATAGTACTATGAGCAGGAGTAGAGATTACAACTTACAAGAAACTGCTTTGAATTACCTCTGTTTCGCGGTTCATTCTCAAATAGATGTAGTAATCGTCTACTTTCAAACTGCACGCGCCTTCGTCATATTTTGATAGATTTTGTAGCATAAAATTTAAATGTGCGCGTCCTTTCTATTGTGTTCAAAATCTACAAATCTTAGCATTTTTATTATATTTGTGTATGTTGATGTAAATTGCTTTGCGAGTAACTGCGCGTGATACTGAACATAATAAAGAATACAATCAAGAAATGATAAACAGCTACGCGACATAAAAAACATTGTGTAATTTCACCATAATTTTTTCTGCATACGTTGTATAATGAATGGGTTACTACTAGAAAATGACAAGCGATTGTTCTCACTAGGAGCCGAAACGTACGATCATTCAAAACATATACTGATATGATGTTAAAGGTTGCTAGAGCTTGCACCGCGACGCACGTCTAGTCGCGTACTGCAAAAGATAAAACAGAAGAAGGAAGAACAAAAGCAGAGTGCTCATGAGGACAAGGACGACGAACACACCAAGGAGTCGCCGGATCTCGCGCGGGAGAACAGAGCTAGGAGGCGGGATCTCTTGAGGTACTCATTGTCTATTAATTATTTTCTCCCGACGTTTAAGAAACTTACAGAAAAAGAATATTTTGCTGATTCAGTTTTTTTAAATAATTAAAATTAGATAGGAAAATCTACAGAAAAAGTATAGAATCAGCTTTAAGTTTAGAAATGTTTATTACATACATATACCATTGCATTTTATGGCAGAGAGCTGTAACCTCGGTGATACCCCGTTGTCGTTATTGCTGAAATTTGAAATTTAAATTATAAGTGTTGACTTACCTACATGCCACTATTTAATACAAATCAGTACAAGTCTTCTGAATTTGTAGGATTGTGAGAGAGTTGATGTGAGGTAAATATAATATGCAGCTGTAACATGCTATTTCACCCCCTCAGGGGTTGTACTTTTCGAAATCCTTCCTTAGTGGGTGTCTATGTTGAAATAGGAATACTTATATGTTACAAATTTCAAGTCCATCTGACGTATAGTTTGTAGATCTCGTGATTGAGTCAGTGGTATTTAGCTTTTGTACCTAGTCAGGTCATAAATTCTGTCACATGTTTAATATAAAATAATTGAAAGAAGTTTATTCATTATGTAACCATTTATATACCAAAATGAACTTACCAAAACATAGATTCTTATGACACTAAAGTTTATTCAAAATGACCTCCGTGATTTTGAATACAGGCCTTCAATCTGCGCGGCTAGTCTATCGCAGCACGAACGAGGTCCATGTCAATATCGGCGGCTGCCTTAATCAAGGATATCTTGAGTGACTCCAAATTGGGATGAGGCTTTGAGCACGCCTTTTCCTCCAAGTGTTGCCATATCTTGTAATTTATCGGATTCAAATCTGGACTGGCGAAGTGCCAGTCTTCGTGCCGGATGAAGTCGATTTCACGCGCCGCCAGCCAGCTTTGTGTGCTCTTCGCTCTATGAGCTGGCGCCGAATCTTATTGGAATACCCAGTGCCTGTTATTGAACATGGTATGAGAAACAGGTTCCACAAGGTTCGTCAGGACTGTATTTTGATACACAACTGCATTTGTTCTCACAAAAATGTACCTCTGTTAAGCCCCAATAAGTAACTCCCAACCATACCATGAGCGAGGATGGAAAATGACCTCGTAGGACACGCGGAATACGGTTGCTCGCTTCTTCACTACTGTGTGCGTACACCTTATCATTTTGTTTGTTGTAGCTCTCTTCTACGGTAATAATATTTTCATCCGAAAAAAGAATATCCCGATATTTTTTTCCCGTGTACCGCTTCAACAAAGCGCGGCATCTCTTCAGTCTCAGGTCTATTAGACGAGCATTCAAACGATGTCCTGTTTTTCTTCGATATGCCCGAAGCCCTAAGTCTTCATTTAACACCCTTTTCACCGTGGTTCTGCTTAACCCCATCTGAAGGGCCAACAGATTCTGCTTACGTTTGGGATTTCTTTGAATTCGCGCCTTCACAGCTTTTATAACTGCTGGTGTCCTAACAAACCGAGGGTGACCACCTTGACCTGTCATCTACACTAGAGTCTTCATTGTATCGTTTGATGGTACGTTAAACGAATCTTTTGGTTATATTCAAATTTTTCAATATGTCAAAAATGTGAATTGGCGCGTAACCGCAACGATGCAACGCAATAACTGCAACACGGTCTTCTTTAAGCGTCCACTCCATATTTAAAAATGAGTAAAATTCTAAAAAGTATACAGTTTTATTTTCATGAACAATTCGAAATTCGAATTCAATAAACTTTTTTGTGGCCAGCATTCTAAAAGAAAAGTTTTTACTGTGTGACAATACTTATGACCTGACTAAGTATATATAAAATGTATGGATGTCATGTAAAATCCGCCAACCCACATTAAAGCTTTAAGTATCAACCCCGGTGTTTTATATTCTGTATAGTATAACAATTATTATGTAATGAAAATGTTGGACTGCGCACCATTATATGAAAACCTCCGTCTGTAATCATAGACTAGTCAAAATTATCCACAAAATTATCCACAAAATTAGAAAGTCACACGCAGGCCATGTTTAGTTGTTCGTCGGTCTCTAGTCGAGTACTTGCGAATCCGGCTCGGAGGACCAACCAATGCGGGTTATATACGAGGGGTGATCCAAAAGTAATGATAATCGGTTACTTCAGGTCCGCATAAAAATCCTAAATTAGATTTTTTTTGCTTGCTTATATACTCACTACGTCAGCCTAAAAAAATCATATAAATAGATCACGATTTCCGGGAGATACATTCATTTGAATACGAACTGTCAAAGAGATAACATCAACATGGAGAAAAACGAAATTAGAGCTGTCATCAAGTACCGTTTGAAAAAAATGTCTTCAAAAGACATACACAGTGACTTAGTGGAAACATTGGGGGACTCTGCTCCTCGATATTCTACAGTTGCACGCTGGGCTAAGGAGTTTAAACTGGGCAGAACATCCACTGAAGATGAACATCGCGAAGGACGCCCATCCACGTCCCTCACTGAAGACAACGTGAAAAAAGTCGAAGATGTTGTGTTGGCAGATCGAAGAGTGACCATCAGGCATGTAGCTGAGGTCACAGGGATCTCATATGGCAGTGTTCAAAGAATCCTTGCGAACGAGTTGCATATGAAAAAGGTCTCTGCGCGTTGGGTACCCAGAATGTTAACCGCGGAGCAAAAGAAAAATCGAGTTGACATTTCGAGGGTCAATCTCGAAAAGTTCCAAGCAGATCAAGAAATTTTTTTGTTCCGTTTTGTGACTATGGACGAGACCTGGATCCACCATTTTGATCCTGAAACGAAACAACAATCGATGACTTGGAAGCGAGCCCCCTCACCGACGCCAAAGAAATTCAAAGTTTCAAGTTCGGCGGGAAAGGTTATGGCATCTGTTTTTTGGGACGCTCAAGACATAATTATGGTGGAATATTTGGAAAAGGGAGCCACTATTACTTGCTCTTACTACGCAGACCAAATAAGAAGATTACGGGAGGCCATTAAGGAAAAAAGACGCGGCAAAATGCAAGCTGGAGTGCTGTTTCACCAAGACAACGCACCGGCTCACAAAGCCGCAGTTGCGATGGCTGCCATCCAAGAAACGGGATTCGAACTGCTCGAACACCCTCCTTATTCGCCAGATCTAGCTCCTAGTGATTTCTACCTCTTTCCTCGGCTCAAGGAACGCCTCCGAAACAAGAAATTCGAAGACGATAGCGAAGTAATGGCCGATGTTGAAGCGTTTTGGGAGGGTCAAGACAAATAATTTTTTTCAAAGGGAATCCTGGGAAGAAAAAAGATGGACTAAATGTATTGATTTGTTAGGAGACTATGTAGAAAAATAAATAATTATTTTAACTTTAATTACCGTGTTTTATTTTCATTATCATTACTTTTGGATCACCTCTCGTATAATGACCGCACTTGATAGATGATAATTTATATTGGAACGAAGTTCCTTTTCGGACGGTACAGGTTTGGCGGATGGGAGCTAGGGGACAAAAAGTGTAAGATTTTTTCGTCACTACCCCTTGTGTCATAGTGTATTTTATTTTAAATGAGGCTTCATTGTAATAGACGCTAGTAATACATTTATTTGTATTTGTTAATCAATTATATAATACGTTTATCTGATAATAAGGAACTTCGTTCTAACCGAGTGTTCCACGGCACTCACGCATGTTTTTATATTAGAATTATAAAGGGAACTACCACTTACTACGACTTCCAATAGACTGTTCCATAGGTATTGTCTGCCAGTGGCGGTAGCTCTATACAAGCCGAAAAGCCTGACGTGCCCTATTATTCGAACCTAAATTGACCACGAGATAATATTTAAAATTTTGCGCGCTTTTGCTTATGTATTGTATATAATATTATCTTTGCTTTAAGTTTTATAAGATCACTAACGCGTCATGACGCACAAACGCAATTTATCAAATCAAGCTTATGTAGAGAAAATTTCCTAAAATGATGCAAAGTTAAGTGACTATGTCAAATGGTGGTAGTAAATGTAAACTTAAGATCTTACAAAGAAAAACAACCAAAACGTCGTTATTATCTGCCCATATCTTGTATTTCAAATAATATGTAAAACTCATGAAAGAATATAATAGAGCCATGTACTCGTACTCGTAAACTCATTGAATAGTTGATTGTTCCCATTCTATTTAGCCGCGCTCTGTGTCCGTACTACTTACATGTTATTTTTCTTTTCGGATGATGATGTGATAAATGTATGAAATACTTTTGTGATTTTGTTTGATAGCAAATATAAATTATTTTTAACTAGTTATCTACCCCTGCTTCGCTCGGTTGATTTCTGGATCTTGACAACAGCGTCACGTACCGGGTCTAGTAGTGAATCTATTCCATCCAGGGACCCACTCAAAAACACAAAAAAAAATCATCAAAATCAGTCGCCATTTTCGTGTTGTAGCGAGACTAACGGAGCGACGTTTTAAGGAGACGAGAAGATACATCATTAATATCGAAAGTAATCAATGCAATTTACGCATTGACAACTTTTAAATTTTTTTAATTAGAATAATTGTTTAATTCTATATCTATATATCTATACTCAATTAAAAAAAACAAAATGCTAATATATATATATATATATATATATATATATATATATATTAGGTCGTTACATATGAAATTAGCGTTTTATCGTACTGACCACTGATTTGAAATATATCCTCGTTGGTTAAGAATTCCAAATTCAAATTTATAAATTCATTTAGCTGGTACATTTGAGTTTTGAAAACAGTCATTCATTTGTTTTTTCCTCATTATTTTTTTCTTTGGCGTCGGTTATTATCGCACAATGGAAAGCATGAAATATCGGTATATTTACGAGTACGAGTTCTACCGTGGCACCAGTGCTGAAGAAACAGCTCGAAGGATTAATGATGTGTACGGCGCTGGTGTCGCAAAAGAAAGCACGGTACGGTTTAGGTTTCAACGTTTTCGTTCTGGAAAGTTTAGACCTTCAGAACCAACCGCGTAGACGGCCGGAGA